ACTACAACTGACATTAACGACCCAGTCATCTGTGGATGTGAATATGGGTGGAAGCCGGTTAATAGAGACGGGGTTTCTATATCAAGGGATTAGAACCGGGGCTGGTGTTGCTTTCGCAGACGTTTTAGAGCACGCCAACTGGTCCAGACACCCGCTCCCTGCTCCCCACATTTGCCAGTAGTCTCTTGCACCTGCATCTGCACCCGTGGAAAGAAATCGGTTAATGTGCGTTTTCAAGTGTTGGGGAAGTGGAACTGAGCAGTCGATGGAGGGGAGGTGGGGGGGGGACACTGATGCCATCATGGGCAGTCAATCAATTGCAGAAACCCTTGGACATCCAAACCCAGACTCCTTCTGTCCACCTTATTCCTGACTTTGCCTCCATTTTCTTCCTCAATGCTCACAAAAATACTGAGGCGCTGGCAAGAAACGTGGGCTCTGGGTCCCAGACACACGACCTTGAGACACACGCATCGCTTGTAAAGGTGCTTGGGGCGCGGGGTGGAGAAAACCCGACATTTTGCTTACAAAGGACAGGAAAAAAACGTTTGAAAGGAAAACTCTGTTTACTCGAATAAGTTTCCTGTTTAAGAAAGGAGCTCGGTGTTTACCTTGGGTGGGGTGATCTGAATGCACCCTCCCTTTCCCAGCAGCTCTATGATACAGCTCTTCTAGAAGAAGTTTTAAAATAATGAGAATTAAATGCTGAGCTCTCGCGATCGGAGGAGGGGTCCTGAGATATGATCAAATCCTAAAATTGATCCAGGAGAAGGAAAACTCCTGGTGCAATCCCTGTAAAGGGTTTAAATTAAGAAAATAATCCAACCCGCACACACAATCCACCCCAGTATATGCCATCATCGGTTAATTTGAAAACAAGACACAACCCCCAGGTCCCTTGCCTTTACTGGGGGTATTTAGTCCATGCTTATAAGCAAAGCGATTTCCACCATCCTCTGAAGCTATTCAGATATACGAAGCTGCGAGAGGGCAAGCGAGATGAACGCTGTTTACATTTGCTCCTGTTCCGCTACACAAATGGGCACCTCTGGGCAGAAGCAGGGTGACCGAGCCCCTGGTTGGGAGCCAGCCCTGAGCCTGGTCCCTATCCAAACACTGCCAAGGCGCTCTGCTGCGTGGAGAAATCTGCCGCTGGTTCCAACCCGAGGGGCAGCCCTGTTGCTAAGCCTTTCTCAAAATATCGGAGCAATACTTTTTTATGAACGTGTTAAGGAGATGTGTTTAGGTGGCAAACTATTTTGATTAGTACTCTATAGAGCTCATTAGCACGACGGTCAGAAAGGCACCCAGAAAAGAGAACCAGAGCTAATTAAAGAACCTGTAAATCTGGAATAATTTTTAATCCAAACACAAGGCACGATTTTTAAATTCGGGGAGGTTGAGACGTTTCCATCAAACGCTGGGCTGTGTTGCAACCTCAAAGATGCTCTTTTTTCATTTAGCAAACAGGGAGGGTTTCAGGGGCAAAGCAATGTTGCATATTTCTTCATTTTACCCTTTTCTAAAAAGTGCAAGTAGAGGTACTGGCTAGAATGACGCCTGGCACGGTTTGCCCTTGCGGCGCTCCCGCCAACCTAGCAGACAGCCTTACTGAAAATGCATTATTTTTTGCTTTTCAAAAGCAGCTCAAATGCAATATTTGGAGCAGCTCTTTTTCACGTCACTGTCATTTTCAGTCATTCTCATTTACTATCCGCTGTTCCTGAGTAATGCAAAAAAGAAAAAGAAAAAAAAAATACTCAACCAAATATGAAGGCTAGAGCGAGCCTGATCTTTGCTGGATTAATAACTGGAAATGTAACACAAAAAGTCAACACTTCGCATGAGACAGAACTTGACCTTTTAAAGAACCGCAATAAGATTTGAAACAGTTCCCCCGCGAGCCGAGCAGACAAACACTGGGCGTCCGAGGGGTGCCAGATCCCTTACTAGGCTAAATGTATATAAATATATATATATATAGGGATTGATTTTTTTTTTTGCTCGCTTCTCTTAGGTAGCTCTGAGCAAACCTGCTCCCCAAATCTACTCGACTCTTAGCCAGATTTGGCCAGGGGAAAAAAATGCCCCTATACTGTCCTGCAAAATACATAACGGTTTTACCCACGTCCGCCTCTCCCAGCCAGACCAGACACAACGCCAAGGAGGAAGGGTTGCATTTCTGCTTTGCAAAATGAAATGCCTCCTTTCGTTGACGTTGTTTTCTCGGAGATTAGCAGCCAAAGACATGGGGGGTGGATTTTTCTTTTCTTTCCATTTTTCTCTTCCTAAACGCGGAAGCCCCGATTCCAAATGAGACAAAATAATCTACCTTCGGATTGTGTTGAAAACAACAACATCCCACCAGGCTCCCTGCAGTTACCAAACCGGTCCGAGGCTCTAAGCGAGCATTATCTCTGTTTTCCCTTTACAGCAAATTAAGCGGAGAAGGAACGGTGTCCTGGGTGCTTGCTAATTCTGCTGTCTAGTTGCCCGCCGAAGCCTTTGCCATAATCTTCTCTAATTGTTCCCCCAATGCAATCGTTTGTCAGGGTGCATTTTATTTTCTCCCGCATTCCACCCTGCTCTAGTGGACCAAGTCTCCTGCTTGTTTGGGGAAGCACCTCCCCAGCTCAGCCAGAAAGAAGTGTGTCCAGCCCTACTACCCAGCCATAGGGTTATACTGGCGCAGCCTATTCTAATGGAAGAGGCACTGGGCTGGCATTATAATTCGCCTTCTCGCCTGCTTTCCTGGATTTTCCTTTGTTTCAGAAAGACCCCCCCACCCCAAGCACCCTAAGTCAGAGTCTGGACCTGCCCCGGCAGAAATGCAATGGAAAGAGGCGCAGGAAAGAGCCCCATACAAACCTTGCTCAGCACTGCACCCCAATTCAGCCCCCAGCTCTGGGATTTATTTAATGCAGAGGGGACGGCAGTGATTCCAAGTAGGTGGCGTCTCCCGATTAACCGTTGGTCAGCTCTGTCATGTCTGCTCTGACACAAGCTGAAGTTGACTGCCAAAAGTGCAATAAAACCGCAGGTCAGTCTAGAACTGTTTTCGGTTCCCCTAGACGCGCCGCGTTCAATTATGGCCTTTAAAAGCCCTAATACAAGTGCAAGAATTTGTTTGCCATCACACAGAGGCGGGGCAAGTCTCTGCAACGGTGGCGCCTTTGTTATCTCAAAGTCACTGAAATCCTCTATACATTCCTTTTTGTCGGGAAGGGTTGGGGGGGGGGAGAAATACATTATCATGTAAAGAATTGAAAGGACGGGAAAATGAGCACTACTGAGATACGAAGAGAAACCCCCCTCCCTTTTTAAAGGGGGTCTTAAAGGGAGAAAAAACTAAGTAAAGAGCAGTAGTGTAGAATTAAAGAATAAACCCGGCTGAGATGCTGAAAATTTCTATCACGGTCTTTAAAAAAAAAAGAAAAGTGTGGGGGGGGGGGGGGGGGGAATTAAGAAGTGTGGGGGGGGGGGGGGTGGCAGAATTTACAATCCCCAAACGACAATGCAATCTTCCGATAGCACTTTGATGGCATGCATATCTCTTCTTTCCATCCACTTTCTAGCAGACATGTCACACTGGAAGATTAATTAATAATTCCAAGATCAGCTCACAAACACTGAGAAAGCATAAAAGTTCTTGCAGCAAACCCAAAGAAAGAGTTCATTAAAGGGATATGTCCGAAGCATTTGATTTGCGATTGGTAACCCTTGTAAAATAATAAAAAAAGGCATATAAACACTAATGCTAATAAATTAGTTTACTCCACTACAAAGTAATTACTTGATAATATTGATATTTACAGCTTGAATCCAACTGTAATAGTTAACTATAATTTAGCGAAAATACATAATGAGAATATTTTTTTCAGTGCACAACATGATTAGATTTGTTATTGAGTCAGTTACAATAAGCCAAGCAATAAATAAACAAATCGATGTTGACATTTAAATACCGAAGATCTCCTGAATTTACAATAGAACTTTCCCCAGATGTATAAATACGTCTCCAACATTGTGGAGGTTCAAAAAAAATCACAATGAGGCTTTCTTGATATTTGCACTTTTCCTCCCAGCGCGCGCTCAAATCCACAGGAACACACATCTTGAACTCTGTCTCATTTCAGTGACACCACCATCCCCAGAGTTGTCTGTGGCCGTGGAATAGTTCTGTTTTTCTATTTGGAATAAATCCAGCCGGAACCTAAATATTTCTCTTCTGAAATCGAGCATCAGAATAGCAAAAAATATTTTTTTTTCAACAGCCTAAGGATGTCCATGCCTCAAAAGGTGCTGTATTTTTTGGCGCATTTCTCTGTTTTCTTTGGCACTGCTTATTCGGTGGGGTGTACATTTTTATTGGCAGAGAACTACTTTTTAGTCTCTGCCCTGTACAATCCGCTTTCTATATCATCCCTTTCATGCAACAACAGTAAAATCTTTACCACGTTTTGAAAATAGGTCTCTCAAGGGTCTCAACCTGCACCGACGGTTTGAAGCAGGGATCTGGGTACTGCAAGTTTGTTAGCACGGGTTAATACTATAGCAAATAATTTTAACTAAACTTCTGGCAATTAAACTTAGAATATTTGTCAAACCCGGATAACCCAGAGTCCATTGGTTTCCCAAGTATTTAGCAGCACTGTTGAGGCAAATAGATCAGCAAACACTCTTTACTCAGTGGTCTGCAGGCTAAAGGGCTTTCTGGCATTGCAAATAGAGAAAGGTTTGGAGGGGAGGCACGGAGTGAACCTGCACTGTGGGAATAAAACATTGTTAAATACCTCTCGCAAAGCTCGGCTGAAGCCTCACAGGGTATTTGAAGTTAATATGTAAGAAAGGGAAGGAAGACACTAAGCGCTTCGGAAGTGAACATGAATGCAAGCATGTAATCTATTCACCATGAAAATCAGTACAGACTTGACCCTGGCACATTCTTCCCAGCCATGTCTCCAGCAAAAAACCCTGCAGGGCGAGTATCTTCTGCAGGAACGGAGAGATTGCTTTAAGAGCACCGCCTGCTAGAAAGCAGCCCGAGGAGAGAAACGAGCACTTTGGCGCCGTTCTTTCTTTTATTTATTTTTTTAATTTTCTTTTTACATTTTTTTTTTCAAATTTACAAACAATCACGTAACAAACAAAAAAGGTCTCACCTAGCCCTGTGGGTATTTCTAATTCTTTCTACTCCACAACCACTGGGTGCAATTGGCCAGGCTGATAAGTACGGGGAAGTGTCTGTCATGCGCCTTTCTGTCCTCTAAGGGTACACAAGGCAAACCTGAGTTACATTTGAGCTTACGTGCTTTTAGTGAGAAAACCAAAGTGACGATCTGTTGCTTCCCTTGAGATGGCTACAAAGAAGAAAGGGCCCATACTTGCAGCTTGTCAATTTCAACATTTGGTCACATGACCAGCACCTCCCTGCTAAGGATGGGGATAGATTTCCACGTCAGCTTACGTCTCCAAATTTCTTACTTCACGGATCTGCTTCAAAGAGGCAGCTGCATTAGAGAATCATGTTAAGCTCAGCTAATGCGGAGAACCCGAGGTAGCCTAATGATGGATTTTGATGAGCGCGTTCCTTGTTCCTCTAACATGTATTTGCCAAGTTGTACTTACTACGTCTCGGCTCCTGATTTCTCCAGCCTCCCTTCTTTTCTGCCCCAGACCCCGTCTTCTCGCCCTATGACATACTCCTACTCTTCCAACCTACCCCAGGTCCAACCTGTGAGAGAAGTGACCTTCCGAGAGTATGCCATTGATCCCTCCAGTAAGTGGCACGCCAGGAGCAATCTGCCCCACTGCTACTCAGCAGAGGAGATCATGCACAGAGACTGCCTGCCTGCCACCAACACAGCTAGCATGGGCGAGATGTTCGGCAAAAACACAGCAAACGTCTACCACCCCACCACCAACGTCTCCTCCAATTTCTATAGCACGGTGGGGAGGAACGGGGTCCTGCCCCAGGCTTTCGACCAGTTTTTCGAGACGGCTTATGGCACCACGGAAAACCTGTCCTCCTCGGACTATTCCGTAGACAAGAATGGCGAGAAAATGCCTCCGGCAGCTGCTGCAACTTCAAGTTCGGAGGGAGGCTGCAGCAGGGAGGCAGGAGCCACAGCAGCAGAGGAGAAGGAGAGGCGGAGGAGGGCAGAGAGCAGCAGCAGCCCAGAGTCATCTTCCGGCAACAATGAGGAGAAATCCAGCAGCTCCAGTACGTATAAAGCCAGCGCCCAAGCGCTTTATGAAAGGGAGTTTGAAATCTAGCGCACCACCGCTGTTAAAATTTTATATGCTGTTTTATAAGCATATAAGGTTTATGAAGGGCCTTTAGATTTCCCCCAACAAAACTTTGTTATAAAAGGCAAGATCACGTGCTTAGTGCTGAAATTGGCCGTGAAATACCCACCGGCCAATGGATGCCTTAAAAAAAAATCTTTCTCCTTCCTTTTTTTTTCTAAATTATAATAAAAAAGGAGCTCTGTGGTCAAGTCTCGAAAAAATAATAACGTACGTTTGGTGCCTGTAAATTCACCAAAAAGGGATCCTGCCTCCTTTGATATCAATGTAATCCAGTGATTTTATAAAAGCCATGTGTTGCACCAGCAGTCTAGTTAGGGGCTGAATTCAAAGCCATCCCTGGTTTAACGACTGCACTAGAATAGTGTTTAACAGATAAAGTAGCCGCCTCAACTGTAGCAATATATTAAAAGAAACAAATTAACCTAAAGCTGGCCTTTTTGTCTAAAGGAAGCCATTTTACTAAGGCACTGTGGCAATTACGTGTTGCCTTCTGTCCAACAGTTTGTTACTTACAATTGTTATTCAATCTGTCAAAGTCTGATTTTTTTATGTGTGCTTTTTAAAAGGCAAAGCTAGTATACCGCTCGGGAAAATATACCTCGACAATGAACTGTACCAGAAAAGGAAGTTTTTAAAGGGATAGCAGCAATATTTAATGTAAAGAGCTTTGGAACCTTGAAAACCTTTCTACTCTGCTTAATGAACTTTAAACCGAGAGGGGCGAAAGGGGGAAAAGAATAACGTGCTCGCGTGGACAGAGAGGTTGGAAATAGCGGAGCCAGGAGGAATGCAGTGATTTCCTAGCAGGCTTGGGCGCAGGGGCTTTGCCTCTGATTGAAAGAGAAGAGGTAAATACAGCGGTGGGGGTGTGAAGCCGGGCTGTGTGTGCAGAATAAAACCTCCATGGGAATAGTCTCGCGAAAGACTGGGCTTGCAAATGTGCTCCCGGCTCTGGATCCCGTAAGGTCTGGCTGAAGGGATCCAGGTGAGGAAGGCTGAAATGTCTCTGCGCAGCTGTTGTTTAGTGATCAGTCCCGCCGGGGCACCGAGGACTTCCCGTAGGCTGGGAGCTGCGGGCTGAGCCCGGAGTCCGGGGCCGGGCTTGGCTGCGGGTCCTGCCCGGGTCCCTGCTCCGAGGGTCGGTGCTCGCAGCGATCGTGCCCCCCGCCCAGGCTCTGCTCGGGAGGCTCCGCTACAAGGTAAGGAGCCGCGTAGCGGGGGGCTTGCCCGCAGGAGCCAGGGAGCAGGCAGATTTTGCTCATTAATGCTCCCGGCCTGAGGGTTTCTCTCGCTCCCATCCGCTGCAAGTCTCAATGGCTTCTGCCTTGCTTCGCTCCACAGGTGGACAACGCACCCGGAAAAAGAGATGCCCCTACACCAAATACCAGATCCGAGAATTAGAAAGAGAATTCTTCTTCAGTGTCTACATCAACAAAGAGAAGCGCCTCCAGCTCTCGCGAATGCTCAATCTGACCGACCGTCAAGTCAAGATATGGTTTCAGAACAGGAGAATGAAAGAAAAAAAAATCAACAGGGACCGATTACAATATTACTCGGCTAATCCACTACTTTAAAACTCGGAGCGGGTTTCGAGAGGAGATTCCATTCAGATTTCTCCCTTGACAAGGTCAAGCCACAGGGTTACGTGGAAGGAAGAGGTGTGTAGCTGACGGGACTGGGAGACCTGAGATTTTACATACATGTAAATCCACTCCGTCAACTGGAATCGGTTTGATTTTGACCCACATGGCATCCATTTCCAACGTGCAAGCCTCCTCTTTGCTCTGAGCGCAGAATCCAGACCTCTTACCTTCCCAGACACTGCGGTTCATTCTGATACGGCTTTCACTAGTTACAAGTGGGGACAGAGATCCCTGACTCGGTTCATCTTCTAACCGGTGTTGATCTTGTTCCCTGGGCTCACTGTGGAACATGCATATGGAGAGAGGACTTGGCGAGCTTAAGTGATGAGGACCACTGCGAAGTAAAACTTTGAAAACCAACCTTTTGTTCTTCGGAAGGGAATCCCTTGGCTTAGAGCAGTGCTCCACCACCGACTGATTTCAATATAGAGAAATTGGGACACATTTCACAAGGCCAACCATGACAGTTGTCACAGCAGTAGTGATGGATATAATCGTGTTGGATTTGGGGGGCGGGGGCGGGAGAGGATCTGAAAGACTTGATTATTCCCTTTAAAAATGGTCAGGTATATATTTTTTGCCATATAGCTAAAGAAACAATCACTGAAAGGGCAAATAGTTAGCCATTTTAATTAGCTCTGTTTTTTTTATTTATCGACCAATTATCGCGAGGCTGCCATCCTTTTGAGACAAATCACGATGCCCATATTTAAATGTTCAGCATAAAATGGCAAAGAAAGAGTGAATTTCAAAGTTTTCAAAAGAAAAAGAAAGAAAGAAAACTAACCTTCTGGCTTCTGGCTCACAAACTTTCTTCAGGAAATACCTGTGGAGAACGACAGTTTGGCATACCACACAACACTTAATTGAAACTTGGATTTGTGCAATGCACTGATATTGGGTCATTAAAGGAGGGAATGTCGTGTTTCTTTAGAAGGTTACTAGTGAGACATGGATTCAGAAGCCAAACAATGTACATATGGTACTTTTGTTGTTGTCTACTTTAAATGTCACGAGCTGTACTCTGTTGCTCAGTTGGCGTATACAAAGAATGGAGAGTTGTCTGGAGTTATTTTAAATATAGATATAAATAGATATATTTCCCTGCAGGAACCAAAGCGAGAAAAAATGCAATTAAAATATTTAAAATTCTATAACAGTTTACAAAAGATACGGTGTTCTATCTTAAGGTAATTTGCTGTTAAGAATATCTGAATGTATATTTCATACAGGAACAGTGTTTTACAAGACTTGTAAATAAAAAAGAACCCACGGCCTATTTTGTTTGAATACTTTTTGAACATTTTTTTTTCCCTTTGGGGGTTAAAGGGTGTCGTTTTTTTACATGAACAACAAATTGGTGATAAAAGTGTTTTCTGAACAATCAGCATACCAAATGGATGTAATTTTTTTTACACGTTCACACAATGCAATATCTTTATATTCCATCACTGTTTTCAATATGTATCATCTATGTGTATATACAGTTTTCTTTTAATATGCGAAAGTACTTGGTTGCATGTATACAATGGAACAGCGCACAAGGAAAATAAAAAAATGGAAAATTTATATTTTTATTCTGGTATTAGTTACTGTATATTATTTGATCTCATCTAAGTGTTGGAATAGGCAGACATCCACCACTTCTCTAGTCCAGCTGGCCAAGGTACATTACATTCACCTCCCCCCACCTTTACTCTCATCCAAAGCAAAAGTTGGGTACTTTTGAATAAAATATGCATACCGAAGCTAATTTAGGTCTAAATGTCATTGGATTACAAAAAAATTAAAAAAAATTAAAAAAGAAGGGAAAATTATACTTTTTAGTAACTCACTGCAAGGATTGCTCCTTTGTTCTCAGCTGTACAAGACAGACGTGCTTCTTATCTCCAGGAGATGAATATTATATTCTTACTTATTTCAGACCACAGGGGTCTGGACAAACTGGTTCTGAATTATTTTTTAGGATCCCTCCTGTTGGGACAGGGTTTTTCAGCACAGCACTGAACCGATGGTTAAGTAGCAGCGAAAATCCCGGCGGTTAAAAGAGTGAGAGCCTTAAGAAAAGTGTGTGCTTTGAAAAACATTCCACATAGGAGTCTGGTGGAACTGGACTGGGGGAAATTGTCCTGCTTCGCCAAGGAGGGAAAAAGTTGAGGAGGGGAATGCTGCTTTAGTTGAGAATGTGGGTAAGGGAATGGCCTTTGCATCTCTCATGTTTTTCCTAATCGTAATAAGGAAAAGAAAGTACATACTGTTTTCCTATTGTTTACTGGCTTTGAACTTCTGTATTGCTTTGGACATCACACATAACCTTGAGGTGAAGGGCTAAATGGCTCTGGACCGTTTGTTGACAATCCCCACCCAGGCAGACACCGTGTGGTCGAAGGAAATGGGGGAAATGAGAAAAAGGGGGTTTGTTTGTTTGTTTGTTTGTCTAGCATGCTACAATGGATGCTTGAAAAGAAGGAGAGATGGAAGGAGAGATAGATGCAGACAGGCAGAGAGAAAGAGAAAGGGGAACAGATGAATGGCAATGAGCGTGAAGCAAGGAGCTTCCTTTCCTGGTTAAAAATTAACTGGTATTCATGGCCAATGCTGGAGACAGTTCAGCCATGGAGTTTCTCTGGTTGGGGTTTGCTTTTCTGACCCAATAAAAGCACATCCTCTGTGCTGCTGTGACAATGTGGTCGTAAAAAGTGTCCATGACTTGTCCATTTGCATATATGGAATGCACCGCTATAAACTTAGCTGAGGTTCTGCTGCAATTTCGTAGCTGTAGAAATTAGATCTGAAAAGCAATTGTCTGGACACAGTCTCTAGCATCCCTTTTATTATAACAGTGAATTTAAATCCGAGAGTCAGTCACTCTTCCTTAGAAGCTCCTTTGCCACAAGATGGCGTTCTTCAGATCAATGTCAAAGCCGCAGTGGGAGAAGGGAACCCCTGGAAAAATCTTGGCCTTTGTTCACTTTACATTCTAGGAGCAGCACGTTAAATAATTTCACTTTCTAGGTTGGGGTCTGCAAAAGTAGCTCCAGCCGATAGCTTATTGTGAAATCAAATGACTCATTTCCAACAGCCTCCCTGAGAAGTTGGACCCTGCTTGGCCTTGGTTGAGAACATGCGTGGAGGTAAGCGCTTCTATCTGCCCTACATTTGGAAATGAGTGGAATGTGCTGCTATCAAAGTAGTTCTTGGAAAGTTTGGGTGACCTTATATTGTGTTTCAGTTAAACATTTTGGAAGCGGCCATAGGGGAGAGAAAGCGTTTGAAAAAGTTGGTGATTAAAGTTGATACGTGACAGTATTTAAAGGAGCTTTCTAGATTTCAGCTGATTTTTTTGTATCGCAATAAAGTTTTGGCGAGCGGTATGGAAAACCCACGTTATGTGGAAACATTTGTTCAGCGAATCCTGAAGAGTTCTTCCCATTATAAAAATCCTAGCCCTGGAAATATTATGAAACTTGACATTTATGTGTGGAAACAGTAGGTGTCTTCAATCAAATAGATCTACGGCAACTTACACTGGAAATGACAGATAATTTTGATGTTCTTATTGGACTTGAACTGTGGTATAGTTATAGGTGCTTGGTAACTTTCAGCGGTGGTTTTCTTAGTTGCAGCTGGATGTACAGGGTGGTGAACAGAGGTTGTTTGTACAAAGAACTAATTTTGTAATCGCTTAGTTATTTAATTTCATACTAAGTCAGTGTTCGGGTAAGGCTAACTTTAAAATATTCCTCAGATCTTCTCCTTCTCCATCTCTCTGTATGCCCCTTCCCCTCCACGCAGGGCACGTGTTGTGGCTGAAAATTGGTCAAACCATCTCACTTCTGTCCTCGCTATAAATCTATCTAGTCTAGTCTACCCTCGCTATAAGTATGTCCCCCGGGTAGTTCAGGAGATTTTTCAGGTTGTTTCTCTTGCTCTTGGCGTCCCACAGGTCTTTTTTGTTTTTATAATCCCCATATGAAAATAAAAAGTGTGGCACTTGGTGAATGAACTGGTTTAGCTGCATGCTTTAGAGCACACGTCGCTGCAAGGTGAGCACAGGAAGTTTAAATCTCGGAATCAAATAGACTCTGTTGAAACATCATTCTCCTCCGGTCAGGGAAACCTAGAAAGAGGCGGATTAGAGTTTCCTGCGGTGCTTGGGAGGGTGTACTGAGCGCATCCTGGAGGGACTAGGGGAGAGGCCCGGAGGGAGCCTCCCAGAGCAGATCTGGGGGCGCTCCCAGGATCCAGGGTTTGCATCCAAGATGCTGCAGTCCCAGGGCCAGAATCCTGCTCTCCATGAACCTGCCCGCGGAGACCCAGCGATTACAAAGCTGCCTGCCCCGGCGCCCCTTTGGCCCCTTCCTCCGCACACCACTCAGCTGGGGTTCGGCGTATTGGATACAACATTTATTTTTCCTTGTTGTTCCCCTGCCCCAGTCAATACTCATCTGAATAAATCAAGGGGACCCCAGCAGCCGTTAAAGCGCCCTCTGGTTACAGATTGTTTACTGGCGGCCTTGCTCAGAGGACATCTCAAAAACAACCTGGTTTCTTCCAATAACTGTTTATGATTTCACATGCCCGGGCTGAGCGTGTTTGGGAGGGACGAGCCCCAAGTAGCTCAGTGTTTACACCGTGCTGTTGAATCCTGGGGGCAGGTCGAGACCGGATCCCACATCCCAGAACAAGGGAGGGCTTTTCCTCAGCTTCTCTGCTGGGCGTTATTTATTTATTTATTTTTGGTTACATCCTTTTGATTAAATGCTCTAAATCTGCAACTGGAGGCCAATCTGTACAGATAGATGTGTCAGGTTAGAGAGGATATTTATATTTTGCATCAAACCTTTACTTAAAGAAAAGCTTGATGCACAAAGGACAATAGATAGCTCGCTTTAAATGTTTAATATTCCTGCCCACCCTATATATCTTGGTAAAAAGGGTGCACTAAAAGGCAGATCGATATATTTAATATTGTATTGATATCTTTAGCGCCCTATTGTTGTTGCTGCTCTCCTGAATTAAGGGCTGTAGGAAGATTACAGAGCATCCTAAGGCAGCCTTCTTGCTCTGGACCGCATGGAGTAAATCCTTGAGAACCGGGTGGGTGTCTTTTGTCCTGCTGCATCTCCTGCTCCGGAACCCCTCAGCAAAATATGGTTCTAATCCGAATTATCAAAGCGGCGTCCAGAATACAAAGGAGATTCCAAGGGTCAGGCCTTTAGGGTTAGGATCAAAATTAAATCTCATCCAAAATATTATAAAGGATAATCCACTGTCAGAGACCAGGATCCTTCTTCCCCCCCCGGGCGCGAAAGAATTTCTAGTAAAGATAAAATGAGTTAGCTAGATATTCGTCACCTTTCTTGGCATAGACGCTGCTCCTAACCCGCCTGATTGAAAGCCGTCTACCTTGGAACAAATCCAGGAAGAAAAGCAACCTGGCACACACACACCCGGGCTTGACAACTGACAGTTCTAATATTAAATAACTCCGCAGTGATCGCATTAATTTTTTTGAGCTGTATAAAAGGTAATCTCCAAGCGTGTACCCCGATGGCGCACACGCTCCCGTGACAGCCTGCGCCGCGATTTACATTTTTGCAAATTGCAATTTGCCAATGTCAGAAATAAAAAGCACATTTTAATTAGCATACAGAATAGCATCCGCTGAGTAACAATGTTGTACCTTTCGCTTTACCCAGGAAATAATAAAAGGGATAAATCATTATTTAACACGATGTGTTTAAAATTTTCAAGCCAGAGTTTGCTGGGGCTGAGCTGTCGTTTTTATTTATTTCTTTTTAGTTTTTCATTTTTAGCCTAACCAATAAACCAGTTTAACGACTCTATTAATGCATCCATTATATTTTCTTAGATCAATAAAGTTTTATTTTGATAGTGCTGTCTGTGTATGCCCTGAATTTAGATTCCCCACGAAATCACCTTTTTACTTGCTTTGATATTTCTTAAACTTTATTTGCTTGTTTTTATATACCCCCAGATGGTTTTGCTTATATAAGAAAAAAGAAGAAGATACTATTTTTCCTCGTCTGGCATAAACACTATTTTTTAGCATTTCTTTAAAAAAAGGAAAAGTCAGGGTTAATCTTCAGGAGCTGTTGCTGAGGGTTTGCAATGTAGTAGCGACACACGATGCATGCCAAATTAGTTCAGTTTATCCAAAATTGACCATTATCTTTTATAGTTAAGAATCAAGTGAACATTATTAGTTTTACTCCACTGGGTTTGATGATGCTAGTTACTATTTGCCTTGGCCTTGTTAGCGATTAAAGAAAGCACAGATAATACACAGCCGAGCTGAGTTCATGATCTAGACTGAGTGCTTTGACCATCAAAGCTCATTCTTATAAACAAAACAGGGAAGGGCAGAGATCTGGGCTCCAATGGCAAGTTATACGTGACTAAGAAACTTGCCTTCGCCTGACACCAGGCAGCCTGACAAACTCTAAAATCCAATCCCTGCCCGGCAGATCTTTTGCTACAAAAGGCAGATATTCGGTTAAAATCCGCTTTATTCCTCCTATCAGCCCCCACTCTCTCTTTTTTTTTTTTCGCCCTGATTTCTTGGCGGTAGTAATTAAAGAAAGGAAACTCTGCGTTTGTGCTCACATTATTAAGGCTGACCAGAATTGCACATCTTTTTATGCTCCTTTTTATTTTCTTCCCCCCCCCAACCTTAATCAATTTTTTCAAAGGTCGGTGGGTTTTTTTACAAAACAGCTTTGGAAAGTTTTCCACCGCTTCTCTTCTATTCCGTAAGGCTTTTAGGTTTGCAAGCACTTTCTATTTAATTTGGCAAATGCAAAACAAACACGCCGCAAGAGCGGACTTCCTCGGAGTAATTTTTATACCTGATTTGTGCAGAGAAATGTATTTGGAACGTGGAGCTCGGGGTCACATTTCATTTTATTTAGATCTGTATTTATAATGTTAAGCCTATTGATAATAGCCTTCCTGTATACTGGCCAATAAAATGGTTCCTTATATGGTATTAATTTTGTTAGCATGATATGGCTCTCCTAGGAATCTGATAAGGGTTTGTCCATCACACATTAACACATTGTGGTCTCTGTCGACCTGGGGGAGTGCAAACAATATTCCAGGGGGAACAGTGGGGGGAAATCTCCCTGGGCTGCTGGATCAGCCCCCCTATCATTAAGCCCCGCTTAGCAGTCAGGAGTCTGCGGTGGGATGGAGCTCCTGCGATAACATTGGGAAAATAGGAAGCCTTTCCATAAAGGTTTTATGGGCACTGCGAAGTTGTAACAACCTCTACCAGGCTACACGGCGTCTCCAGCTGACAAGGGGAAACCTTGGGAGGCCCCGTCTGACTCGCCTGCCTATGGCAGGCACCACTGGTGTCCCGCTGTCTCGTGTCCATTACAAAATAACTTGTCGGGGTGGGGTGTCGGAACAGGAAAGAGGGTCCTCTTCGCGTGGGCAAACACGGCGGGATTAACCCACGTGAGGCCTGACAGATCAATAGGTTGGAGGGGAAATGGCCGGGGCGCTGTTGACGCTATTATTCTTGCCCTGTGCTGCGGGCTCCTTTGAAAGCCAAGGGTAAGCGGCTGCAGAGCGAAGGCTCAGCGATCCGCCTTGGGCAGAGGGGAAGGCGGCGGGTGGCTGGACACATTCCTCCTTGGCCGGGCCGGGCCGGGCAGGGCAGGGCAGGGCAGGTCAGGGCAGGGCTGGGCAGGCTGGGGGAGCCGGGTGTCAGTCTTCCGGGGGGGGCTGCTTTGGATGTATATCCCAAGCGATGACTGTGTGGGAGCCTCCCGAGGCAGCCGGGCCCTTGCTGCTCTGACCCGAGCAGCACCTCTGTGCAGTAAACAGAGGAGCCATCTCCCTTGCAAAAACCTGGAGAAATCCCAAGCAGCCCCAGACTTTGTACATTAAAAAAAAAAAAAAGGCCAGCCTTTCTCCGGGCTAGCGGCATGGCTCCAAAGTAGCAGAATCCAGAGAGGATGGCAGCGTGAGCCATTCATTACAAAATCCATCTCTCCCTCTGTCTGCGTGCCTGGCTGTCTGTCTGCTGTGTGTCTGCCCTGCCCGACACAGTTCCGCCGTGACTGTACAGCGCTGTCTATGCCTCGCTGTACAGTCGGTGCCTCGCTGATGAAAGAGCCGGTCCGCTTGAATAGATTAAAAGGGAAAATTATTTCCCTAATGGGAAAATTAAAAAAACAATTACCCAAATATAAACAGAGGCATAAGCGGGGGGGCTTTGGCACCGGGAGACGATCCATTTGAACCCAGGTTTGGCTTCTTTCTCTGACATCCATTTATTTTAAATGAACATCTTTTAAATGTTAATCAGGAAGGGCCCGGCATTAACTAAAGTCTGGGAAGAGGTAATCACAGCGTCAGGTCTCCCATCGTGGCATTACCCCCAGCCCCCCCTTCTCTAGCTATCTCGAGGAAATTGCAGACTCGCTTACAATACTAACTGATGCTTTCTGGCTGCGATAGTACTCTGGAAAGAGCTCGTTCCCGGATACTTTAACGCTACCCACGCCAGATCCGTAGGCAGCTCCAAATGGCCCGCGATAAACAATAACAAATCTGATTTTTGGTTCAAGTAGGCAAACGAGTACAATGGCACGGAGCTGAACCGTGAAAAGCAGGGGCGGGGGTCGGGGCTTTATTAATTTCATCACAGACAGAGACCGTGCAGTGAAGGGAACACGCATTACTTCCGGAAAGCCCAACCGGGGGGAAAGAAGTGACAATAAAAGGTTCGTTTATAAACCGCTTCATCCTAGGTACAATAAACATCAGATTGCTCGGCTGTTTTATAGTAGTGCATATGATAATAGAAGAGCATAAGTTATGGCAAGGCTGAAGTCAGGGACTTTTTTTTTCCTCCCAGCGTGTAAACTCTCCCCCCCCCCTCGC